TGAACGGGAGCTGCCTGGGGTAGATCTTCAACCTCGGGTTCGGAATTAGCACCATCCGAAAGTTCTTCATCATGGTGATCATTCACAGGGATAGGATGATCATTTTCTAGCTCTTCTTCAAACCATCCAGCAATAACTTCATTCGGAAGGAACAAGTTGCCGTGGGGATGGAGTCCAGCCATGTTATCTACGCGAGATTTGGGGTAAGAAAATAATTATTAGACGGACTATCTAGATAATTAGTTAGAAAATCTTCATCAGTTACATCGCTATTTGTGAAATGCATACCAGTTATATGTAATTTAAACAGGATAGACCTTCAAATAAGTGGCCTTAATTCCAAATTCACACGGAATAGGGGTAAGGAAAATTTTTCACAGATTCTAAGTTTATAACATCCTAATTACATATAGCCTTAGTGTATCCACTTAACAACTATCAACTTAGTAATGAAGATCCCGTTTTAATTCTCAAGTATAAAGTACTTATAGTAACACCAAATACTCCTATAGTATTTTAAATTTTTAATGTTATGTTCTATTGTTCTCATTGTGGTAGGGTTGGTAAGATTTTAGCATTGTTGCAACCACACAATTAAACTTAGGCACATGCTAGTCAACCCTCGGATAATATAGGTGATCAGGCTATATCTTCCCAATTTTGACCATATGTCTCTAAGCCCACTTGTGTTGCCCAACGATCGTAATTATTTTGTACTATCCTAGTGACACTAATTTTAGTATGAATGCAGCACGTATACTCACTTAAATATTTTATTATTTAAAGTATAAACTCTGGGTTATAGTATTTAATCCCTTATGTATTTATAGTTAGTATATCTTTTATGGGTTGATATACTTAATTCACTATAAACAATGCTCTGATACCAATCTATCACACCCCAAAACCAAGAACGACGGAAACGTTCTGGGGCGGAGGACGTCATATACAGTAGCACAACAATGAAAAGTAGTAAACAAGCAAAAACATCATCCATTGTATTAATAATATAATTATTATACAAGTTTCCTGTCAAATTTTGATAAACACAAAAGCATAAATCAAAATGAAAGATGAGTCTTGAACAAGCTCCATCTTCCTTTCTCCTTGCATCGGTACCTGTCTGATGACCTGAGGATACAAGTAATTTTGAAAGCGAGTATCAGCTTTAAAGCTGGTGAGATCATAAGTATTTAGTGTCTTAATTTGTACGTAAGTATTTGTATGTAAAAATTTGTATATGAACTGTAAGTATGAAGAGGTTTGTAAAACAACTGTAAACATTTGAAAAACCCTAGAAATCCCTATAATTCCTATTAGTAATAAAAGGAGTCTTCTACCAAGACTTAACAGTTCTCAATGTAGTCTTCTATCAAGACCTAACTATTCTGAATGTACTCTTCTACCAAGACCTAACTGTTCTGAATGTAGTCTTCTACCAAGACCTAACTGTTCTGAATGTAGTCTTCTACCAAGACCTAACTGTTCTGAATGTAGTCTTCTACCAAGACTTAATTGTTCTGAATGTAGTCTTCTACCAAGACCAAGCTGCATTAGTATTACCCTTTGGAACAAGTGCAACTAACAATGTTAACTGAAGACATCCGTAGATGTACATTTACCTCTGTTGCTAACAGCTGGGTATAGGAATAGTCAGTCCCCAAAAGTATACTTGTAATGGTATCAACCGTTGACATCTGTGGATGTGCTTTTACCTCTGTAGCTAACAGAGATTCTAGGAATGGTCAGTCCCGCAACGTATCCTTGGGTACTAGGATATTAAATCCAATCTATCTCGTCGATTATGTGATTGAATCACAACGTAATGAGGATTATATAACAGAATCTATACATATAAAATGTACTAGTAATTCCTGTAAGTGTACTCATGTACATGTGATCATGTGACCATATCTATGTAATAGTATGGTAAGGTACTGTAATGTTCTAGCTGTAGTGTACGTGCTCTCTATCTAGCAAGTATAGTAATATACTGTAATGTTCTAGCTGTAGTGTACGTGCTCTCTATCTAGTAAGTATAGTAATGTACTGTAATGTTATAGCTGTAGTGTACGTGCTCTCTATCTAGCAAGTATAGTAATGTACTGTAATGTTCTAGAAAGTATGACTCATGAATGAACTGACTCATTGTATAGTATTGTGTTCTAGTAATAGTTCTAGTATCTTCCTAAACTACCCATATGGTAGCTTACTAGTAATATAACTGGTACGTATGAACATGGATGTATACCCTTGCTACCCAAGGGCATTGGATGAACTGGAAGGGCCTTTATGACTATATATGTACATATGATATATAACTAATATTTAAACGACCTTCGGACGGATACCGATATCCCACCAGACCACATCTCAAGCGCGAAAAGGAAATAGGGTGGATAGCCTTCCTAAGTCTTTTAAACATTTCTCATATAACTATACATATATAGGCATGCAATTTATAATATAAAAGCATAAAGTAAGTTTTGTAAAACCTTTGAACATAATTATTATCTTAAGAAAAGATCGACTTGATGTCAATCTATAAAACAATTTGAAGTAAAAACAGTTTGAAGTAAGACAGTTTGAAGTAAAACGTTTTGATAACAGCTTGGAGTAAAACAGATCGGAGTAAAATGGTTTGAAATAGGATCATACAGTGTGTAATGAACCGTTTAATAAGGATTTTTAAACATATAAAACATTTAAGAAAATCATTTGAGGAACCTGTTTGGTAAGAATGGTTAAAGTGAAGTGAATCATTTGAATGTTGCATATTAATCACATGTGATTGATATAATAACTAGCATAATTCTACTTATTAATCACATGTGATTGATACAATAATTAGCATGATTCTACTTGTATCCCCCCCCCCATAAAACATTTAAAAACATTTAAAACATTAGTTAAGGGGTATGAACTCACCTGTGGTAAGTGGATCGGAAAGAAGTGTCGGATAAGTGCTTGGTGTCAAGTGAAGACTTAGACACGCACAAAGATCCTAATAACATATAAGGATATATGTATATACATAATTAGTCTTTAAACAACTAATAAACAAAGTTAAAACACTCTAGGACATGTTAAACACTTTATACAAGTGTTAAAAGTCTCAAGGGTTGCATCTAAGTGTTGTAGGGAAAGGCTAGTGTGTTTGGGGTTCAAGGGTAACTCTTAAAATGAGTTTACTCCCTAAGGATCAACACCCCTTGAGTTTACGGTCGTAAACTCTTGAGTTTACGGCCGTAAACTCCAAATCTTTTGACCATTTGGTGATTTGAAGTCTTCTAGGCTATTCCAAGCATTCCTACTTCACGAATTAGCCTTAGGAAGTGTTGTGTGGCATCAAAACACTCCTAAATGGATTTTACAGTCTAAGGACCATTTCTCATGAGTTTACTACCTTAAACTCCTAAGTTTATGGTATTTTGGGTTTTCAAGTCCTTAGTTCAATCATGGTACTAGCCTAGGTTAGATTTAGCCATAAGAACCAACTATGGGACTTTAAATGGACATTTACCCACTTTTTGGTGTGTTCACGGTTTTGGAACATCCCTAAACCGTAAACACATAAAATTGGGGGTTTTGGTGCTTTTTCAAGGCTTAAACACAAGAAGGAAGGGTTTAAACATGTCAAGGATGTTCTATACATCAACTAGGGCTTAGATTTGGGACTTAGGCACACTTTGGTGCCTCTTTATGGTGTTTACGGCCCAAGAACATTCTTGGACCGTGAACACCTCCAACCTTGTGTTCTTGACAAATTTCCTTGGTATAAACATGCATAGCTAGCTTTAAATGACTCTAGGATAGAAGTACTTACATTAGGAAGCTTGAATTGAGCTAAAAGGCCAAGAACACTTAGTGTGTGTTCTTGGTGTTTTGGAAAATCTAAACAAAAACCGGAAAGGATGAATAGATGCACAAACACTAGATTAAGTGTTTTACTAACTTGAAAGAGTTAAAACACTTACAAGATTGAAGATTTGGAATTAAATCTTGGATGATACCTGAGAGGATATTTTGGAGTTTACTCTTTTGACTTTTGGGGAGTAAACACAAATGACTAACTTTTTGGGGAGTAAACTCATACATAGGCATGAGTTTACGGTTTTGGTGATTTCTAAACCCAAAACATAAAAGTTTGGTCGGGTGTTTCTAATACGCGAAGTGTTTGCGGTTTTCAAAAATCAAAACCCGAGACGACACTTTCTTACACCCGTTCGCTTAAAAATAATATTAAAATAATCAAACGAATTTAATTTTTGTTAAAAATAAGAAATAATAACATTGACTTATGACACGAAGTGGTTGACTTTTAGGGTTTGACCAAATGGAAATTTCGGCTTGTCACACCAAGTAAGATAGCAGACGGGGTGATATCTCAATCGTTCTCCTGGTTCAAATTTAGAACATCGAAGGTGACAGGTAGATGGATAGATTGGAGTATTTCATCATTTTGTTAAAACTTTGATCTATTTTATTTCATGTACCTGTTTTATTATTATTATTATTATTATTATTATTATTATTATTATTATTATTATTATTATTATTATTCATGTACCGTTTCTAAAATGAATTTAATGGTAAACTTTTAACCGTGTTCATGATTAAAAATATTAATATTAATATCAAAATAAATTGAAACCACAAGTATTCTATATTTAAGAAAAATCTTTCTACCCGGTCTATGATTGTCACATGTTCATTTAGATGCGAGAGAAATAGCATAAAGAAATAAAGATTATATATAAGATAAGATGTGGCCTTTCCTTTTCTAATTTTTGTGTTCCATCCACTCTTTTTCCATCTCTAACTCACATGCATGCACAACCATATATATAAATATGCACCCACCACCTTCTCTCACTACTTGTACATTTTGCTTCCTCTAACCCTATATTTTCTCTCCATGAATTTTTCAATCTTTATGTGGTTGGTATTATGGTGGTGAGTGGTTATTATTGGGTTTGTAATTTTACACCTAGCCAGCCATGGAGGCTGCCATAGAACAAACCACCACCACCACCACCGGTGGTGGTCTTGATGGTGATGGTGATGCTCGAACCAAGGATATCACCAACATCTCTAAAGGCAAACGAACCAAGCGTCAAAGGCCACAATCTCCAATTCTTTTCACAATTGCATCCGCCAACAATAACGATATAAATGACTCTCCTGTATCATCTTCTGGTTTTCCGGCAGGTAGCACCACCACGGAAGATGAAGACACTGCCGAATCCCTAATCCTCCTCTCGAAAGGCCAGTCCTTGGACCTTTCTTCAAGAAAAAGCAAAGACGATTACGATGGAATGTTCAAGTTTAATAGCAAAAGGTACATACATACGTCGACCACCGGAAACACTGGCATTTTTGTTTATGAATGCAGGACATGCAACCGAACTTTTTCTTCATTTCAAGCTCTCGGAGGCCATCGAGCCAGCCATAAGAAACCTAAAAATAATGAAGACATGAGAAAACCACCACCCTACATTGCCGATAACATTAATGAATCACCAACGGAGTTTCCATTCAGGAATCACAATTCTTCCGTTTCTCTTCAATTAAACAACCGAGTTTCATTCACCAAGTCCTCCTCCAAGCTTCATGAATGCTCAATTTGTGGCACAGAATTTAATTCTGGACAAGCATTGGGTGGTCATATGAGGCGTCACCGGGTGGCAGGCGGCGGCAACAAAGGTGGCAATAACAGCACCACCGGCCACGCAAACACCACCACCTTATCTTTGATTCCGTTCAGTCCGATGACCACCGCGCGCGCAGAGACCTATGAGAATAAGTCGAGGAATAATGCGTTGTGTTTGGATCTTAACCTTCCGGCCCCACGGGAAACCACCGTAGCAGCCGCCGATGACGATCAACGTCAAAAACGGGGATTTACATTCTCACCGACGGGGGAAAATGAGAATAAACAACAGGCCGTTCGTTTGTCCGCTGCCCCAACATTGGTGGATTGTCATTACTGAATACTTATTTATTTATTTATTTATTTATAACTTGTACTATCTTGTGATTTTGTGAAGGTAGATGTGAAGTCATCATCATACCCCCACCAAAAATTGTAAATTATTTTCTCACCGATTTAGTTTGTTGATATTTTAAATATATGTAAATGTATGAAAGTTCAATTTTGTTGAAATACCTTTGTATTATTACTACCACATTTTTTTGAATGTTATATTGTTTGATTCACGATCAATGAATTTATGATTACTAAGTTGAAAATTACTACGAATTTTTGTAGCATTACCAAGTGGTTAGGTATTTTTACACTATTATTTGGCGTATATAATAATCATATATTTTTTATATGTTTTAAAACTAGAACTATAAAACATATGTAACCGTTAGTTATGTGCATGTTCTACATATCTTTCAAGCTAGATGATTTGATTGCAAATCATTTATGAAAAATGATACCTAAGCAAGAGAGATCCGAGACATAAATAGAATCAAACTATTAACAAAAGTTGTTTGAGATCCCGTAACACTAAGAATTATATATTAGAATATCATTAATAATCGATATATACCTAGTTGAATTCAATAATGGGATAAAGGATATTTATTATGGGATTTATAGGTTACAAAAATCATATTTTGGTGGAATACTTAAACCCTAAGTTCAAATGCAACCTAAAGGATCCATGTTTTCACTATTGAATGCAATAACCAATTGAACATTAAAAACCCTACAAGAACCTTCATATTTTCAAAAATAACAAAAGAGTTTAGGGTTACATACATTTTGATTATACTAGTAGATAATCAATCACAATCCCTTTTATAGTGACTTGGAAGCTAGCACCAGAATTCTCGTGTCTCTGATGGTTCACACCGAATTCTAACAACAAGGAGGCTTAAAGAGAGAGGAACGTTCATGTTTCTAGGCTAAAGCACTAAAGATGATGCAATAGTCTAGGTTAACATTTGTAACTCATTTTGAAGTAATAAAGATGAATTATGTAATTCTTATGTGAATTTTGTGCTTGCTTACTTAATTATTATGATTTAATAAGTTTAGAATAAAAATAAGCATCAAAATAAAATGTTAGATAAACCCAATATCTATGTAGAAAGTTGTAGTGGTTGAAATAAGGATCCCGAAGATATAAATAATACCAAAATCCGAGTTATAACGAAGTAGTTATGACATGTCGAAGTTTCGCGACAGAACCAACACAACGCTATGTGACGTAAAAAGTGAATTTTCGTTAAAGTGATTTTTAGCCTTAGTGATCTAAATGAAAATCGTAGATTTCGTTAAACCGAGAGCATGCATAAAAAGAACGCCCAAATCTGACTTCGTATGAGGAAGTTATGATTTTTCTAAGTTTCGACTTAGCAGTTTGCAACCGAAAACTCGAAATTTAGACCGAGTGAGTTTTAACCGAAATAATCTAAACGAGAATCGAAGATCTTGTTGATTGTTGTTTAATAGTAAAAAGAAAGATGTAAACGAACATCGGATGAAGAAGTTATGAATTTTTAACGAACTTTTCATATCCCGACCTGTTAAAAATATAACTTTAAAAATAAACTCAAAATTAGCCGACGGAGTCTAAACAAAAGTTGTAGATCATAGTCTCACCTACGCGTGGATATAAAGAATGTCAAAGACGGAGTTCGTATGCAGAAGTTATGGAATTTAGAAGTGTGGAAATTCGGAGTACGCCCAAGGTACTCATGTTCATGGTCTGAGTTGGGCCACGTAGTCTACTACTCTGTATGGTCGACATGTATACGTAGATCCGATGCATCCGAGATGATCCAACCATATGCCCAGCGTACTGGACCGCCTTATAGTACGCCCAACGTACAAGGATATTACGCCCAGCGTAAATCGAGGTTCCAGCCCCTATAAATAGAACTCGAGGGTAGGCGGATTTTGTTTAATTTCTTTACACCTTTACACCCCTAAACTCTCTCCTAAATTGCAAGAAATACCCCCGAAGCCTAGTATATCGTCCTAACACCCGAAGCAAGTCCCGACGCTCCGAAGTACCCGAGAAAATAATATTTTCAAGCCGAAACTCTGCCCGTGTGAAGCCCAGTTTTTGAGAAAAGACATCAGTTTCATCGAAGAATATGATTTTAAGAGACGAGGTGCTGCCCATTTATCTTCTTAACAAGTGAGTGTGTAGTCACTTTCATCTTATAGATAGATCTGAAGTATTTTCTATAAAAATACGTGTTATGTGTAATTATATTGTTTGTTTATTTGAAATGAATGTTGAATGAATATTTATATAGGTTGTAAACTGTATATGTATTTTTATCTACAAAAATGTTGGGTAAAAAATGGGTAGATAGTTGATGTGTGAAGAAATAAATTGATGAGATGCCTCAATGTTATTGTAATCCAATCATCTAGCGGAGTATGAATGACAACCACAGACTTTTATAGATAGTCCCGTGGAAGGCTGGCAGACTCACAACATCTAGGTGTTAATGAGCTTGAGTGTTCATTTGTTGTACTCCATCCCCTACATGGTTTCCTTATTTGACATAAATTGCCGAGGAATCCCCTAAACTAGTGTTGTCACCCCGATGAAAATCCTTAGACTAGATCCCTTGTGATAGGTGTTTAGGGACGTAAAGTGAGGATAACGGGAATGGGTAATCAGGGTTATTTTTGGTTGATAAAATTAATATATTTATTTTGGATTAATAAATTTATTGTTGAGTGATGAAATTAATAAATTTATTTTTGTTGATGAAATTAATAAATTTATTTATTTGTGGGTTGAAAACCCTATATGCTCACCAAACTCCCAAGTCTGATCCACTCAGTTTTCTGTATTATAGGTAGTGGACCCCGAGCGTAGTTTGGAGGTTGAAGAGTGATTTTTGAATTATAAGCCAGTAGTTATAAATATCTGTTGTAAGGCTTATAATTTATTGTTTATGCTTTTGGTCTGTTTCAGATCATGATATCCCGAGGTTTTTGATATATAATGAAAATATTTATTTCTTTAAGAAATGTTTTGTTAAAATTTTATTATATTTTGTTTTGGGAACAAATTCTGCAACATCTTTTGGAAAATTACTCTGATTTTATTTTAGACAAAAATGCAAAAATGGTCCCTATGGTTTGTCATTTTTTGTGGATATGGTCCAAACCTTTTAAAAATTGGATTTCTGGTCCTTATTGAAAGGTTTGTTTGTGGAACAAGTCCCTGGGGTTAACAGCCGTTTGTTTGTGGCTGTTAAACCCCTCACGTGCATTGCACACGAGGGCATAAATGTCTTTTTACTTGAGGGACCATTTTTACAATTCTTGAAATAATATATAAAGACTTCCCCAACGTTCAAGTTCTTCCCCAAACGTTGTTCTGCAACTTTCAAGTTGTTCTTCATTCTCTCTTCCATCTCTCATCTCTCTTTGTTAACAGTCGGGGTGTCAGTTAATCACACGATGGTTCTCTGTTTTTGTGGTAAGTTTGCTGTTGTTAAATGCTCATGGACACCGAAGAACCCAGGCAGACGTTTCTATGCTTACCCTCAAAAGGTAAAGAAATTCGTTTGCACCCATTTGATTTGTAATCAAATAACATTTGTTATTTTCCCCTTTGAAGGATTCTGCTTGTCGCTTCATCGGATGGGTTGATCCCCCCATGTGTGAAAGGTCTAAAGTCATTATTCCTGGACTATTGAGAAATATTAACCGAATGCAAGCTTGGTGTACAGCTCTAAAGATCATGTTGCTGGCTAGTTGGGTGTTTTTTGTGATTTTGTTCATAAGGTCTGTTTAGGTTTAGTTAATAGGTCAATGGGGTGGGTTTTTATTTGTTGAAGATTGATAAAAGTGTGGTTTTTTGGTGGATTAATGGTTTTTGGTACTTTGACCTAGGTTCTTTGTAGTTGTTTGTAAGGTCAAAGTAAGTTGTTTATGTAGTAAATGACTTCCTGATATAAATATGAATTTTATGGAATTGCTTATGTTGTTTGTAAGGTTATTTGTAGTTTTTGCTTATGGAATTGCTTATGTTGTTTGTAAGGTTCTTTGTATGAATTCCAATTAGTTGGTTGTACTTAACAACTGCTTTTTGTCCCAGCTTCTCATTTTCCAAATCTTCATTTTCTTCATCATCAAAGTCAATGGCAAGAAATTCGGACAACTGTTGATTTTTGTCTTGCTTTGACAAAAATGAATTTTATGGAATTGCTTATGTTGTTTGTAAGGTTCTTTGTAGTTTTTGTAAGGTGAAAGAAAGGTTAATGTGAATAATTGACTGTAATGGTTATAATAAACAATAATAACCAAAAACCATAATAACCAAGGCTGCAATTACATAATAGACTACAAACATATAGTGCAATTACATTATCCCAAAATATGCAAACATATAGACTAATACTTATTATACTAATGAAAACCAAAATAACCATAAGTCATAAGTTTTTTAACATCAAAACACTTCCAAAAGTAGCAAATAACATCTGCCAAAACAAACACAACCTTGATCTTCAACTTCCACCTCCTTGACCTTTGCATGTCCTTGAGTTGTGACCTTTGTTTTTGCATTTTGCACATGTTACACTGACATATTTCCTTGTTAATTTTTGAACTCCATCAAGACCCACTTTACAGCCTTCTTCCTGACTTACACCATGAGTACCAGTCTGACTTTGACACCCTCTTTGACTCTGACTCAATTTTTCATCCTCACTTTTCTTCCTCTTCTTTGTAGGCCTATCTATTTGCTTATGATGAATTGGAGGGATAAGTGTTGTGGGACACAAACTTTTAGGCCACATTATTCTTCCTTTTATGGGCTCTACCTTATAGGAATATGCATTCTTCCATGTATCCAACCAATATACCTTTTTGACCCACCTGTAAATGTCACCAACATCCTCTGAGTTCTTGGTAATTTCATAAAGGGTTGCAATGGCATGTTTACATGGGATGCCTATTAGCTCCCACTTCCTGCAAGTACATGTGTTGTTCCTAACATCTACAACATGTTGGTCTTGCCATGCCCTAGTGACTTGGTATTTCTCACCCCCATTCCACCTAGCAATGTAATGTGATGCATGAAACTTGTTTATATCCAATATGGTTGTTGCAGTGGGTGTTAAAGGCCCTTTTGCCTTGTCCATCACCTTCATAACATGACAGATTCTCTTCATCAGGTATTGTCTAATATACTCCAAACAACCTATGATAGGCTTATCTCTTCCCTTTATTATCTTGCTGTTAAATACCTCACAAAGGTTGTTTAACAGTATATCAGAGATTGCTCTGCCTGTTAAAAAAATTAACATATTCTTTTAAGTACAAGTACACATTTAACATGTAGTAATTTATGGTAATTTATGTACCTGTAAAATGGCTTCTTGCCCAGTGTTTTGGAGGAATCTTTCTAAGCCATTCACATGCCTCCTTGTCATAGTTGCTAAATTCTTTCATGCAATGCTCAAATTCAGGTATAGTGGTTGCAGTTGCACATCTCCATAAATGATCCTTGTACTCTTTCAATTTCCATTTCACTCTCATGTTCTAATGTATGTGCCTAAGACAATACCTGTGCTCAGCACATGGGAATAGTTGGGCTATTGCTGGTATTAAACCCTAGAACAATAACAAAAATTAAGTATTTAGTTTATATAATAATAAGTAATTAATAATACAAGTTAGAAAGAGATACCTTTTGTCGATCTGTGATAAAAGTAAAGTTAGAGTTTGAACCAAGATCCAAGTCTTCTCCTAAACACTGCAAGAACCATACCCAACTACTTTTGTTCTCTGTCTCAACAATGGCATAAGCAAGGGGGTAAATACCATTGTTAGAGTCCAACCCAACTGCTGTTAGAACCTGCCCAGGAAATGGTCCTTTCATATGCGCACCATTGAAACCCAAAAGATCCCTGAGGCCAGCCTTAAAACCTTTTTTCAGGGGACCTAAGCAAATGTAGATTCTTTTAAACCTCCTCGTTGGGTTTGATGGGTTTTGTTCACTGTAAACATCAATCTTGACAGTTGTGTCAACATTGGTTGCTTGCAATTCAAGGACATAGTCCCTCAAGATCTCATATTGTTTCGTATAGTCACCCTCCACGGTCTTAGTAGCAATAGCCTTGGCCCTGAATACTTTGTCAATAGAAATACCTACCTCGAAGTCCTTTTGAAGTTGTTCCTGCAATGCTCAAAGAGGAATCCCTGGATTCGTGTCAATTTGGTCCATGATTCGCTTGGTTATAAAAGTAGAAGTGTAAGCTCTAATCTTCCTACTTTGAAGGCAAGTATGGTTGTCATTTAATGTCCTTACAAACCAGGGAGATTCTGTGTTTGACCTAGAAGCATGAAGGAACCAACTACAGTTTACTTTTTCTGAATTTACCTCTTTGCCCTTGGTTTTATTTTTGGGATTAAGGCCAACCACCCCACTTGCATTGATGACAGGGACTACACCTCTACACAATGCCCGAAGTCTAATCTTGTCATTCTTTTTATAATATAAATTCCTCCTAGTTTCTAGTGCGTGCATGTCAATTTTTTCTTTCAATTCTTTCTTTGATTTAAACTTTTGCCCAACATAAAAACTGGCCTTATGGACATTGCCAAGACTACATCTTTTCTCCTTAGCTAGATTTTTAAGAACACATCTTCTTTTCCTTTCATCTTCTGACCCTTCATCTAAAGAATCCCATCTATCATTGTCAATGATTTTTATGTCCTCATGTTCATCATTTGTCCCAACCCCGTTATGAAACCCATCCATTTGAACACAACCATAATCCTTATCAAGATTGAGGTTAAAGTCAGTCATATCCACCTCCACTTCTGATACATTGCTTTCATCATCAACAAGTTCATCATATTGTTCTTCTGATTGTTGCCTAAGATCATCACTGTCAGCAGACTTTTCATGTTCAGACTGATGGTCTTCAACATTCTCATCTTCTGGTGGTTGATAATGTTCTCCATCAAAAGTATCAAAGTGATCATGAGAAAAGTTCTCATAATGAAATTCATCATAATCAAAGTTATCATGGTCACCACCTTGATCTTGTAACAGCCCGGAATTTTCAAATAAAATTTTCATTTAAAACAAAACATCATTATTCGACAAAAGAGTTTATTCCAAGTTTATTGCAAAAGTATAAATAATAAATCTCCAAGATCTTCAACAATGGCAGTGTGTACGTGTCACGCCGGCGCCTTTCCACGGTCATCACTAGTACCTGAAAAACATAAACACAACTAGTAAGCATAAATGCTTAGTGAGTTCCCCAGTATATGACTTACCCACATACGCCTTCCGGCCCGGACCTTTCGGTCCACATAACATTGCCTTCCGGCCCGTAACATAATCGCCTTCCGGCCCATAACATATCGCCTTCCGGCCCGTATTAAATTGCCTTCCGGCCCATAGTATTTTGCCTTCCGGCCCATAATAGTATAAAACATAACGCATGTAACATAACGCACATAACACATAAGTCATACATCATACCGTTCTTTCTATCACATAAAGTCTCGCCTTCCGGCCCGTATAAGCATACATCACATATAAAGCATCTACCTCTCTAGACATAGCATAAATATAACACATACGACCTTCCGGTCTCACAGTCAAACCCTTCCGGGTGAAGTATAGTGAGAAGACTCACCTCGTAGTATGCAAGCTATAAACCCTTCGAGCTACTCGCACTCGATCCGCTAATCCGCAGGTTCCCTATAATACCACATACCTTTATTAATGATCTTATCAAACAAGACAACTGACCCTACTAAGTTACATACAGGTCAACGGTCAATCTTGACCGGACTCGTCGAGTGAAAAGGGCAACTCGGCGAGTATAGACACCCCGACTCCACTCGCCGAGTCTAAAGAACGACTCGACGAGTTCTAGTAGATCTTCAAGCTACTCGCCGAGTCTGAAGAACAACTCGGCGAGTCCTAGTGAATCTTCAAGCTACTCGCCGAGTCTGAAGAACAACTCGGCGAGTCCTAGTGAATCTTCAAGCTACTCGCCGAGTCTGATCATTGGACTCGGCGAGTCCTCGCCATGCAGTCAATCCGCTGCCTCCTGTATTTCGCATGATTTCGAAGTATATAGATATGGGGCTTCCTGGACTTTCACATATACTATTACAGGGTTTTTAAACACTTGTAACAACACTATAATCTAACAATTCCTTAAATGGGTTTCCTAAACCCTAAATTCGCATACAACGTAAAAGCTACAGATTATGATCCGAAGATTACCTGGAAACGTGTTCCCTGTGTCCCCAACCTCCAGTACTCGACTCCTTGGACTTCCTTTGATCACCACCTTGCCTCTCCTTGTCTAACAATCTCTTCAAGCTTCCTCTAGCCCTCACTCTTGCTCCAGATGCCCACAAACTCCCAAGGTATCTTCAATCGGCCAAAAGACGCGACATGACGGCCATAAGATCATTATATACGATTCAGAATCGAAACGGCTAGGGTTCAGCTGAACAGCGTCGACTCGCCGAGTCCCTATTGGACTCGTCGAGTCCAGTCGCGTATCTGCGACCAAGACCATGGCCCTACTCGGCGAGTCATGCACCAACTCGCCGAGTCCCCTCCTAAATGTGCCCCAAAAATAATTTAAAGAAATACCTGAAATTCCGGGCTGTTACAACTCTCCCCCACTAGAACTAGACTTCGCCCTCGAAGTCTCATTCTGCGAATAACTCCGGATGTTGCTCCCGCATTTCTTTCCGGCTCCCACGTCATCTCCGATCCCTTCCGATGTTGCCACTGAACCAACACCAGAGGTATCTCCTTGTTCCGTAGAACCTTGATCTTCCGATCCCTGATAGCTACTGGTCTCTCGGCGTAATTCAGGCTCGCATCCACCTGAATATCTTCTAACGGAACCACTGCTGCCTCATCGGCTATACACTTCCTCAACTGTGATACGTGGAAGGTATTGTGAATCTGACTCAGCTCCGCTGGCAACTCCAACCGATAAGCTACCCGACCTACCCTTGCAATTACCCGAAATGGACCTATGAACCGGGGCCCCAATTTGCCCCTCTTCCTGAACCGAATCACCCCTTTCCAAGGAGAAACCTTTAGGAGAACGAAGTCGCCGACCTGGAATTCGAGCTCGGACCGGCGTCTGTCCGCATAACTCTTCTGTCGGCTCTGGGCGGTCAATAACCTCTGCCTCACTCGAATTTAGGGTTTAGGAAACCCATTTAAGGAATTGTTAGATTATAGTGTTGTTACAAGTGTTTAAAAAAAACCCTGTAATAGTATATGTGAAAGTCTAGGAAGCCCCATATCTATAGACTTCGAAATCATGCGAAATACAGGAGGCAGCGGTTTGACTGCATGGCGAGGACTCGCCGAGTCCAATGATCAGACTCGGCGAGTAGCTTGAAGATTCACTAGGACTCGCCGAGTTGTTCTTCAGACTCGGCGAGTAGCTTGAAGATTCACTAGGACTCGCCGAGTTGTTCTTCAGACTCGGCGAGTAGCTTGAAGATCTACTAGAACTCATCGAGTCGTTCTTTAGACTCGGCGAGTGGAGTCAGGGTGTCTATACTCGCCGAGTTGCCCTTTTCACTCGACGAGTCCGGTCAAGATTGACCGTTGACCTGTATGTAACTTAGTAGGGTCAATTGTCTTGTTTGATAAGATCATTAATAAAGGTATGTGGTATTATAGGGAACCTGCGGATTAGCGGATCGAGTGCGAGTAGCTCGAAGGGTTTATAGCTTGCATACTACGAGGTGAGTCTTCTCACTATACTTCACCCGGAAGGGTTTGACTGTGAGACCGGAAGGTCGTATGTGTTATATTTATGCTATGTCTAGAGAGGTAGATGCTTTATATGTGATGTATGCTTATATGTGATGTATGCTTATACGGGCCGGAAGGCGAGACTTTATGTGATAGAAAGAACGGTATGATGTATGACTTATGTGTTATGTGCGTTATGTTACATGTGTTATGTTTTATACTATTATGGGCCGGAAGGCAAAATACTATGGGCCGGAAGGCAATTTAATACGGGCCGGAAGGCGATATGTTATGGGCCGGAAGGCGATTATGTTACGGGCCGGAAGGCAATGTTATGTGGACCGAAAGGTCCGGGCCGGAAGGCGTATGTGGGTAAGTCGTATACTGGGGAACTCACTAAGCATTTATGCTTACTAGTTGTGTTTATGTTTTTGGTACTAGTGATGACCGTGGGAAGGCGCCGGCGTGACACGTACACACTGCCATTGTTGAAGATCTTGGAGATTTATTATTTATACTTTTGCAATAAACTTGGAATAAACTCTTTTGTCGAATAATGATGTTTTGTTTTAAATGAAAAATTTATTTGAAAATTTGAGCTGTTACAATTGGTATCAGAGCCTTGGTTTGAGGGATTCGGGTGTACTTTTGGGTGCAACTGAACTCAGACCGGGGATTTGAGGAAAAACCTTTTTAAATAATAAGGACACAACATTTTATAAATGGTAAGGCGGTAAAACAAGGATGGAACAGTGTGTACGAGCAGCCAGCGTCCGAACGGTAAAGATCCCCAGAATACCTTACGTGTTATGTTATGCACTGAATTATGAATTGTTATGCATGCTAGAAGACTAGGTATACATGATAGGACTAGAATTGCCTGTTTTGTGATGCCTTAGTCTAGGGAGATTGCTTATATGAGATATTTGGTAGCGTGCAAGTAGATAGTGCATACTAGAGGTAGAGTACTCATTATTCGGGATTTGGGGAGGAAGATTTGGGACGAATACTGATACGGTGTGGTCGGTAGTATTGGGCCCGTACTACCGAAGGCACCGGATCAGTGGAAGACTCAAGTAAGAATCCCTGGAAATCGGAGACTGGTAGGGCGCGTATCGAGTACAATTGTACTTGGTGGAGTCTCTGATGATTTTATGTTGTATTTCAGAGACATCATGGTTATCACACGCAATGGGGCGAGTTCGAGCGGTGCGAGTGACGAGGAGATTCGTCAGATTATTCAGGAAGAGGTAGCTGCGGCGGTCCGGGCTGAGATCCGGAGATGTTTGGGTCTATTAAGACCACGCTGATGGAGGAGTTTGAGGAGCGGTACGCCGCACTTACTGAAGCTGCAGTTGCTGCTGCCT